CGATATTAATTGATTTTAGTTGTGTATCGCTGAGTGTTGCAATTACAGACATTCAATAAATACTTTACGAAATATGAGGGTGGTACAATTTACCCGGCGGTACAATATACCGAACTCTCCCCTATCTTGTGTATCGTGATAAAAACAATCACAAGTCTTGATTGCCGATTTATACGTCAATAATTTAACTAAACCGATTTATAAGATCAGGCAAGAAAAAATATAGAGAGAATAAAATTCCATCATGCTACGGTGTCTATTATACCTATTCATCAAACATTTCCTCCTAAACTTTTATAATATTTACTGGATTCAACAGCGTGCGCTGTATCACCACTTAGTAGCTACTGAGCAAGTATTTATAGGTTTGCTTTACTTCAGAACTTTACAACAGTAATATTTTCATGCTCAAACATTTGTGTAAGCAGACCTAACGGGAAAGCGGTTATCTCCAGCTGCCCACATTTGCCTTTGATTTATTTAAGAAACTCCATACTCATACTAAGTAAGATTATGTGCTTCAGAACCAGCTTCGGTTCAAGTTGTATAATTTGTTTGATTAGCAAAGGAAACTCGCTGCACTCGCCGCAGGTGCTTAATGCCGCAGTCTGGCAAACTTGGCACAACTAGCATCGGTTCGATGTTCGGTGGTGTAAGTTCACGGAGTAAGATGATTACGAAATTAGTTTTGAGATGTTTCGCTGAGGAATTTAACTGAAACGATCTACTAATTTTAGTAAATAAACTAGAATAAAAAGCAAAAGTAAATCTACTTGATTATGTAACTAGTAATTAGGTACTTAGGCTGAGTTGCACCATCTTACTTTAACTTTGGCAAAAGTCAAAAATCTGTCAAACTCCATACAAAAAGCACTAGTTATTATTACATTACGGTTAAAGTAAGTTGGTGCAACTCAGACTTACATAATTGTAATTTACTCCTCTCAATATAATATTAGTAAGATTTATGTGATGTAGGAAAAATAGCAGAAATGCTGTTTAAACATTCCTACACACTTATTAGATTATATTTTTGGTTTTCAGGCAATTCATGATAATATTATGTCACAGATCTTCGACGATCGTAAAAGTTTGGAATTGAATTATTATTTCACTGCAAACGGATCGTCTATCATTCGTTTTGCATTAGCCATGGTGCCAAAGAGAGCAGACATAACCACGGGTGCTGCAGAGCATAAAACGAACGTTCGGGGTGGCCTGTCAGCGTATTTTCTTTATAATATCTTTCTTGGCTCTCTGCTTCCACTTCGCAGTTTCAACAGATTCTTAGCGTTTTATTAAACGTAGTTTCCAATGCCGCTAAAGTCATAGCTTCTTATAAAACTTTAGGGGCTCCAGAAAAATGAGAGAATCTAGTATAGAATAGGAAAGGCAACTTAATACGAAGGTGAACAATGACATGTAACGGCCTTATAATATGATCCTTTGCAACAAATAATAGTCTGGTGCCAACAATGCATCATGATTTGATAAATAGCTAAGATCACGCTTGAAAATAAAAAAATAATTTAACCTCTAGCTAGTGAAATAGCCTCACCCAATATAGCCCGCATGCAAGGTACACACAATTCACCAATGGAAGTTTCCGGGAAGTTTCTTACTTCGATGGCAAATAAAGTAAACTTAATACTAAGGTACTGTTTACTTACTTAACTATATAACACCGATTGTAAGTTGGTGTAAATAGTTATACTCTATTGTCATTTTTGTTGCAATTGACACAACCTACCTATACTATTACCTGTACTTATATTTTATTTTAAACCAATGGTAAGAAATTAGTAATTCTGTAACAAGTTTTACTTTTTAATTTGTTTGTGACTCTGTCTTTCCATCTTAGCTTATCTTGTGATAATAGTTGTTACTATATTTTGTTGTTAAAGCGGCAGTAGACACAATACATTAGCCCTGAAAATAGACGGAAAAACGACACATTAACTGACCCTATGTACATTTGATTATTTCATCCAGTAGATCTAGATACTCTACTATCATCTAATCGAATGCAGGGAGCCACATAGAAAGAACTTCCAACTATTGAACATAACAATAGCGGTTAGTGGACCTTAAAATACCTTCCATCCAAAAGGCTGCCCACTGAATCCTACCCCCGAACCTATAACATACGTTTAATATCTCTTAACACTTAAGCCACAAAGGCCAGAATCGAAAAAAATCTAAATGTAGAGCATAAGTCCTCGTATAAAGAACGTTTGGTATTCCATGAGTCCTACATAATGCGACTGGGCAGGCAAAAAGAGGGATTCGTGAAAATTTCTCTTTATGTGCCATAATCCTTTGAGAGATTAATTTTACATTACATTAGATCCATTTTATAATTTAACAGATGATTTTGTTTATTAAAAGGGTTAAGCGTTTGTTTAAATTCGTTTGAGAATAAACCCTTTATAATTTTACAATGTGTTGCCCACTGTTACGCTCACAATGTATCACGTGTTGCCAACATTAAAACATAATTACACTGAAATGGCTTAATTTTAATGCTAACTCGCGTTGCATTGTAAAAATAACATAAAAAGTCCCAGCCCTTCGTTACAAAGTTAGCCTATAATTAACAATAAAAGGTCGTTTTGAGACTTAAGCCCCGGAAACGCCTATTACAAGCGGGGTAGTGTCCGAAATTCACCTTTTAATCTTACGAACGAGCCTGCTGGGGTTTCAAAAGGTTCAAATATATTTTTTGAATATCCTCCTTGCATTACGCAGATTTAATTAAAAGTCTTGATTGGCCGTTTAAGTCATGAAAGGAACATCAAGCGCCCGCCTCGTTCATGAAATTATCGTTAAACTCTTTCTGCGGTGATAATTTAGTTTTGGGAAGATTGCGCCAGAGTTTTTGGCTCATTTCGCTTAACGACTCCAATTCATTGCTCTACGGGCTTTAATGACTCAATATATATTCAACACCTGTCCATAAAACTGCAGTGAAATTTTTGCGATTTCACTCGAAAGTAAAACTAGTAAAAGCTTTGAGTTAATAGCTGACATTTAAATATTTTTTATTTAAAAACGATTAAGTTCGTCAAACGTCGTCGTTCGTCTGCAAAGACAAGTTAATGAATAAATCAAAAAGACAAAATAGGCTTAAATTATATTCATTTTGTCTTTAATATTATTTACATTTATAAACAATAAAATTATGCGGTATTCAACTCAAATGATAACATCTGAATATTGATAAAGCCTTTGTATTTAGTACGTACTCATACTAACTTATACGAATACAACGAAATGACATTTCGGTGCTTTATTAAGGTCAACTTGACGATGGATCTTCAAGTTCATAACCTTCTATTAAATTCCATTTTTATTATGAAAAATCCCCCGAGCCAGACTTTCAATAAGTCGGGAAAATCACATTTACATTTTACGACATGGCCTTAATTATTGTACCTAGTTCTAATAATTCTGTTTTATTTCAATCTACAGGTGTAAATATTGGAATAGACTCTATTTAAATATCTAAACTTTAGTCTAAATCTAAGTATAGTTATTAAAAAATAAAGTACGATTAACTATAAGACATAAGATATAAATTAAGCAGGAATCACAATAAAATAATAAATTCATTACTTATTTCCTCGTCGGCATATGTCTTGTACTATACCTACTATGTAGAGACCGACATAAAATCTCTTGTTCAGCATCAACCAACGTCATTAAATCTAAAAACAGCTGACATATCCAGACCCAATGTAATCACGGGCTTAATTAGCGAAAATCAATTAAGCACCTTTCCAATTAGCGGTGATTTTTGACCAAATTGTACAAAAACTAGTGGACCGCCCGCTAATTCTGGGCTCGTTAATTTAAGGGGTACAATCGACGGGTAATTTGGACCGAGCTGGACTGTAAGGGTAAACCCACGATGTGATTTTCGCAAGTACCCGCGACGATTTGGAAAACATGTTACGTCAGCTATGCCCTCGGCTTTGCGGTGAAACAGCAACAAATATGGATGTTTGTTATCGTAGTAGGAATTACTTTTAAATGCCACTAATCAATTGTAAGATTGTGCTCCTTAATTCGGGCTCCTTTTAAAGTTACAAAGTAGTAAGTAGTGTAGGTAAGTAATGTTTCGAATTGAAATCGATAGCAAATTAAGACGGCATCTTGTAGAGGCCTTTTGTTCTGACCTTTTGATTGGCTCTATCAAAGCCTAATTGCATTTGTAGTCCATTGAGTCAGCGGCTAACTCACGGTACGTTTACCGTTTCGCACCATCCCCTCGTGTTTATTTGTATTGCCAACCTAGGCCATAGATGAACGTTGGCTTAACTTTAGTTTACATGCGTGCGAGTAACACTCCGTGTGTTTCACCCTAAATCGGACGAGCTCGCATTAATCACGTGCGACCGAATTTAAGCCCCACTTGACGATTTAGGACGCCCACCCTGAATATCAATGGTCCACTGATTAAAAAGCAATCGCGCTGTTAGCGATTACGCTTTTTTCAGCGAAGGATTAATGTGAAACCTATATGTTATCGGGAGGGTAATCCATCCATTTAGTACTTCCAGGATTGGAAATGGCTTCAAAATATATTGCTTGCATCGTTCTTCAGTAATACCTAGCCAAATATATTAATCTACTCGCATTTTTTTACATAGCTAAGCTAATCTTGTAAGCGATATTAAAATCCAATTACTGATAATTAATTGGTACCGGTAGAGATATTGAGCACGAATTTTCCCAAGAAATACAAAAATAGAGACATAGAGTCTGCTCAATGGGTAATTAAATTTTCACTTTTAAGAACCTAATCCATAAAAATTAAAACGAAGGGACACAATTCGACACGCGACGATACGCTCAAGCAGAAATAAAAACAGAAAATAATGATCACCTCATTTTTAGAATCATCTTTTAATTTTACACTTTAAATAATAATAATCAAAATGCATGTTCCATAACATGCCTACTCATCTGCCAGCAAACTCATGCGCATTCCATCAGGTCTACGAAGGTGAATCCTCGGGAGGTGCATCTCCGATCAGCCTCAAAGACTTTAGTGCAGCCACTTGTGACATGAACATCAGGCCTGAAGGGTTCTTGTAACACTTAGCTAAAGGCTCGACTGTTACATCTGAAAATGTGAAACATATTTTACTCAACTTTAAAAAAACATAACCTACTTTAGTTGAAAGAAGACGATGAAAATATCCTATGTTATAAAGGTATTGATATTTATTTATTATTTATTGTCATGAAGGATTTGGCCTCCCTAACCTGTATGGCCAGCGCTGCAGCGTGGGGATTGAGCCAAATCCTGTAATAATATAAAATAAGCTTAGTATTGTTTATAAGTTAATTTTGAAAAGGAATAAAAGAGAAGCCATAACAGCCCATAAATCTTATTTCAAACCTTACAAAATGTAATATTTGAAAGATCACAAAAATACTACGATATTTTATCCGTTAAACCTTTAACGGCCATAAGTCTCGTTTAATGTTACGATAGGAACGCAGTATCGGGGTTAAAATAATAGCATTCCGATAGAGGCCACACATTACTTTGGCACTATGGCTTTATGCTCCGAACTAAATCTATTTTAACTGCCAAAACAATAACCTCATAATCCTAATTTCCAACGCACATAAAAGCTGGGTTTCACCAAGAGAAATGCAAATACCTATAGACATATTACAATCTCCGATAAATTGTTCTCTACCAATAAGGTAAATTTTAGTTTACCACAATGTCCACAATACTTCTAAGTAGTGGTAATCGAAAATTTTCTGAAAACCACTTCTTTGGTTTTGTACCCAGAATCTTAGTAAAGACAATCTGTCAAATTGTTTGCCAACGTGTCTCTCACCCATTATCCGAGTGTGGTAAAATAGATAGTAGTACCTAGTGAAATAAGTTAAGTTATATCCTGAGACTACTACTTACTGACTCCAGCAGCACACGACAACAAATCTATGTGGCAGTGGTTGATCATCGGTCTATACTTGAATCTGTTAGGCGAAGTCCATATCTGAGCACAAGCAGGCTCGTATGTGTCCACACAATATGTAGGACAAGTGTGGTTACACGCTTGATGTGCCCCCACAACACTGAAATCATTCAGTCGCCGACCCGTATAGAAATACACTTTTCTTCTTTTAATATTGCATAAAGCATCGGACACTTGACGAATATCTACAAAGCGATACATTTTCAAATTTCAATATATTTAAATGATTCCGTCTGTAGGATTTCGAAATACGAAACGAAATTGCTTTGACTTATAACCGTCTTCGACTCAATGAACTTACCAACGATTGATTTCAATTTGCATTTTATTCTATTCAAATGGCATTCATTGTGATACTTTTTTATTATTTTTACACCGTTCCTTTCTGCTACACCGCAAACATAATCAATTATATTGGAGCACTTTATTTCTGAGCATGATTTACATTTTGTCAACGGTAAATCTGTGAAACAATATAGTCATTTTTGTAATGAATAATACTTGTGTTATTATTCTAGAAGCAATAAAGAGGTGGAGGTCTAACAGTAGATACTTACGTTCTAAATGTATAAAACATACAACAAAAACCAACACAATATTCATCTTCCATTTTATTTTACAAAATCACGGTGCCATAATATTACCACGATTAAAACAAAAACTTTTGCAAAAAATTAAGTGCTTATTTATTACCTACCTACATACACAAGGCACTATAGGTATAAAATAGTAATTTAACGTCCCATGTTAACAAGATTCTGCAATAACTTTTTAATGTTTCTAGGAAGAAATTTATGAGAGAAATTTTAATTAAATCCGCCGTTAATCTAGTCCACGATATATTTTTATCTAACGGAACTCAGCGAGTTTTGGAAACATAAATGAATTATCTTGATACAAGCGATAACAATTTACCGATTATGACCACAGGACAGGGGAAATTAAAATCCTTATGATGCAATATTTCCTCAACTAAATAAGTAAAAACTTATGAACCTGCATTTCTAAAACTTTTATTACGAGCTTGTTTTGTTTATTACCTAATTAATTCACATTTAATAGTACAAGCTTTGCTTAATTTGGGACTAGAAGCGCAGTGTAAAATGTCCAAGGATATTTATTTATTTATTTTATTTATTTATTTAAAAATCATTTAGGATATCTTGAAATCTTCACTGTGAACCAACCAATAAGTGTAAATATTACGTTACTTGGTCAAAATACTTGGAATAAATCATTGTAATTGTGTATTAGGTAATTTTCGTAGAATTTCATTATTACTTTATTTAATCATTGGATTCTTTTCACAGCCTTATGAAACGCCATTATCTTGAAATGAAGCCCCTTATAATTTATGGTCTGTGAAATTAAAGTGTCTTCTTTTAGCCTTTATTGCTGTACTCATATTTGCAGTCGGTTTTTTACGTGTTTATTTTTTGGTTAGAATTACAATCGCTAAGTCATTAAATACATAGATGGGTTAATGATAGTTTAACCCCCTTAAACATTTTACGTAATACATTATTATTTTGTCTCTTTTAATTTATGTAAAATTTGGTAATAAGAAAAAGAAATAAAACCACAATTAAAATATTATTCTTGTCTGATATTACATTCTTCATTTATATTGTTTGTGCGTCGAAATACATTTTCTAATTCCTCCGATACGCTGTATACAGCAAGGTGAAGTAGGAATATGATGTCGTTAGGATCTGAAACGAAATAATACAAATATTCGATAACGTAATGGAAAAATCACTCGATAATTTTGATATTATTGAACAAATCGGTAGCAAAACGAAAACTTACTGAACTGTACGTAATCATCGTGATAGCCCGAAATTTAAACGCCGTGAAGTACAATGGCCTTTGTGATCTATAAAACATTAAGTCTGTTAATATCTCAAAGTGAATTTATTGATCCCTAAAAGTTCGAAGTGACCTGTTTACGAAGGGTAATCAAACAAATAGAGAAGCTCTCTCTCTCTCTCTCTCTTTCTCTCTCTGCTACACATTATAAAAAATTAAAAACAAATCTGGAACTCAGAACAAAGTAATTAGATAAATAATGAACTATTCATCTTGTGGTTTTATGAAGATTTGTCAACGTGGTTGGTTGATAAATCTTCCCTCGCAAATTCAAAGCTCTCTTTCATTTCTGAATTAAAGGATCACTTTTTAAACATACATTTCACGATTAAATATGGCAATATTCAGTTTACTACATACAACTGTAGCTAATCATAGTAACCACACTAACCACCAATATTTTTTTTGTCAGTTTCAATAGGTAATTAGGTGACCAAAAACCTTTTCAGAATATTATTTAGCAGTGCAATGCACCAAACGACACACTTCACTAGACCACTGAATTAAAATGATTACAGGATTTTGTAGGTACCTAACTACTATAAGTGACAAATACCTACATACTTTTTATTATGCTATCATCATCTGCTTAGCATATTGGTGTAATAAAATGCGCATTGATAGTTAAGGAAGTAATATCTGCGCATAACTCTAGCAATGGCTCATATTCATCTCGTGAGTCATGCCTACGCGATTCTGATTAAGCACTTAACTAGGGCATTACATATGGAAATGGATGGTAAAATGACACTAATATTTTAATCTAAATCAATTAACTTGCTAAAAATATTGGAATAGTATCTCTGGAGAAGATATTATTTACAGTTCAAAGACACGTTGTCTTCTATTAATTATTTTATTTCAACAAAATTATTTAAGTTTAATCATATTAAATCATTTTAAGGACTCTACACACCAAACCAGCTTATGTCAGCGGGTGATGGTGTAGACTGCATTAGATCAACTTGTAAACTGTAGCATCAGTACCTAATAGTAACTACCTAAGCTAAAATGTAACAAAATTGTATAGATTCGATATGAATGTAATCCGGAAGCCATTTTAGTATAATCATTAGGATACCATTGTAGTGTCCTCGCCTCTGGAGCAGGGTAAGTCGCTCTATGACATCTCATGTAGTTATAATGTGTGCTATTCTTTAACAAAAACGTACAGTCCTGACGAGCTACTTACACGTATTCTTAAGATAATCAAGTATCGTCCTTACCTCTGCAGCAAGACTAGTAGCGCCCTGCGGCATCGCGGGTCACAGCGGTACCAACCGCTCTCGTAAGCCGCGTCTGCTACGCCGGCGCTCTGCAACATGTAAAGCAATAGCTACACTGTTAAATGTTGTACCAAGAAATTGTTTTACTAAATGTTAGGACAGTTTCCAATTTTGTATTTTTGAAGAGACAGACTCTAAAATTATACAGTAAAGTAGCCCACAACTAAAGTCATTAAGATTGTAGTAAAAGGATTTGTTCGTCACATAAGCCCTTTAACGTTCATCACATAAATACATAGTTGGTCGCACCTACCTAGAACCTACTATGAAAGTTAAGATATTAGGTAGGTACTTAACTCGAGTCTACACGATGTCTACGCTATTTTTTCTTATAATCGTTCCAACTAGTACTCGTAAAAGAAAATGTTAATTATACATTAATTTCAGAATCTGATAAAACTGTATTTTTCCTTCTAAAAAATCCTACTTGTATTTTATAGAACGAGTCAATGTATTGTAGAATATTTTTTCAAGTTAAAAACGGATAAAATAAATGTTTCCTCAATCGCAAACATTGTCTATGTGAGTGCAGTTTTACATCCCGCAATTTTTCACGGGACCACATCCGGAACTGGATGATTCAGACCGTATCGAAGACGAACATATTTTACGGGCGGGAAATTTGAAATTTATGTTGCCTGTGAGTTATGAGTATTTTTCGTAAACCTTCAACTTTATATTTTGAGGCGGTTACGCGGTTGCCGTAGGGTAGACCGGGGACAATAGTACCATTTTTTGGAAATTGTTCAATATTGAGAAATCTAATGAAATGTAACTTATTCTGTTAGGATGCTGTAAAAACTAGACTCTTAAGCTACAAATTTAAGCATGCAGAGTTGAACTATTATTTCGAATACTTAATGAAAAACGAATTTGAACTGTACGATGTCTCATGTTACAATTGACCCCTACAACGGGTCAATTGTACCAATAATATATGAGGCAGTAAAAGTAGTTATGTTTATCTAATCATCACTTTTATTGGTATTCTGTTCTCTTAATCTCCTACAATCATCAGTCTTTATTAATTGAGATCGAAAATATTTAGGAACAAGTATGAAAAATCAACACTTAAGTTTAAAAACTACACAATAACTTTTCTTCCATAAAAACGAAAAAACTAACTGTTTCTACATTATATGCCATCTATTTGGCTCGGATATTGCATCTGAAACAACAATAAGCATAATAACAATGATAGAAATATCAAAACTGAAAAATCTATTTTTGTATGAGGGTACAATTGACCCCTGGTACAATTGACCCTGATTATTTATACCTACTACTGCTTCGACCTTTTAAGATTTTTTCATAAGCCTGTTCATAAAGGAATAGATCCGTTGATCCGCGATCCGTACTTTTGACTCTACGCCGAGGCATCTAAAACAAAATGTTCAAATACTTAGTTACTTACTGAATTAAGCTAAAATGTACATATTCAGAAGGGTTTTAGAAACCTATATTAAAACATTTTAAGTAGGCATTTAGGTACTTATATCACCTTTTTATCTACTTATTTAATAAAACACATTAAGTATGTATCTAATTAATGCTTAATGCATGCAACTATGAATGAGCCTAGACTATATTTTCAGTAGGTAGGTATGCCTGTAATTGTAAAAATATAATTGTAAAAATGTAAAATAACCACGTGAATGTTTTATAATAACTTATCTTATTATAAGTATAGGTACTTTAAAACCAATTTAAAATATTATGTAGTAAGTATAAAATAAGGTTCCGGGGGTTAATTGTACCACGGGGTTGATTGTACCGCTACAATTGACCCCATGGAGACTGGTACAATTGTTCCAAGTTGGTAGTCAAGAGAAATCACCTAAAATTCAGTCATTTTCACAGTGAATGCCAATAATTCGCTGTCGATACAAAGTTTAGAGCCTAGATAAACTATTGACAACAATACTTTGGTAACAAATAGCATATTAGGCAACTTATGGGCTCATATATTTGACATAAAAACTTACTGCGGCTGGGCAAAAAACAAAAATCCTTCCTGTACACCTTCGTTTCTCAGCACAAGCGCCGCCGACTGGTGAGCGGATGGAAACACAAAAAACGCATATTCTGACGCTATGCACACAATCTAACGTCGCTTGTATGAAGAAATATCGCCGATGGTACTATTGACCCGTGGTACTATTGTACCCGGTCTCCCCTATTATAAAATGTAAGGAAATGCTTTTCAACGAGTATACATAGATACCTAGTATTATAGGTATAAAAAACTTAAGTACCTATTGTTAAAAACAATATTTAACTTTTCTTGTGCAAAAAATAACTTTTCCATTTTTATCCAAAAAAGGATTAGAAAAGTTAATTTTTAATTCGATTTTTTTGTGCACCTTAAATAGCATATTCTTTTTTCTCATATAAGTATTATTGTTTAGAGACGTTTTTTCTTTTTGTAGTTTTTCAAATTACTAAGTTTTTTTCGCTCCGAGGTAAAAGTAGATAACATACCGCTCTATAAATATCGTCTGCGTACCAGCACACCACCCCCATCTGAGTTAGCGCTGCGCCTATGAACAGCTTGTTGGACATATCCATCACCGGTTCCAGGAACTGAAAGAAGTTCCCTCGTAAATGTACTTTGACTAATGTACAGGATCCAATTAGATGCAATTAATGACATTTCACAGTTAATGGAACTTTCCTGTTACAGAGTTAACTTACGAGAAAATTAGATTAATCTTGAAAGACTTAATTCTTCATTGATAAATCAGTAACTGTAGTAGATAATGAAGGAATAAACAAGCAAATATAATAAAGGTAAATCTTTTTTTAAGTAATGGATATGAAAAATTATATATTCGTGCCTTTAGTAAATAAAGAATCAAAGAAAACCCACGAAGGCCAGAGCGGGCTTCTTCCCGGTAATAACATATAAAAAATGTGAATTACAGTTCTATTATACCACATTACTTTATGTAATTTTCCTGTTCAATATTATTATTGTGCACAAACAAGATTTATAAAACACCATGTGTTTAGCATTTCATAATATTGTACTAAGATTCTGAACAAAATTACTTGAATACGCATTTAATATTTTTGCGTCACTGAGAAAAGCAATATTTTCCAACTCCGTAACACAATCATTTGATCATTATTCTCATCAATCATTCAGAACGTCAGGAGCATACTTTTAAAATAACAGCTGAAAGTGTTTATTAAATTCCGTAGATTTCATCCTTAATGTAGCGTCACGAAAACAGTTACAAATAGAGACGTTTTAACTTGTAAATAACGTATAACGGACTGAAAGTTTTTATAGCAGACCACAAGTTCTTTTTGCGTTCCAACGACATCTGTTGGGGCTGAACGAAATAGAACAAGAGAACAAATGTAGAGTGGACCTCGGAAGTTTTTATTATAGTTTACTAGTTCGGACTGCGGTTTCGCCCGCGTGGTTTGGTCTACAGAAAATATTTTTTATCCTGTGTCCCCCAAGACCATTGTACGAGTACTGACTGATATCTATAGAAATAGATCAGTTGCAGTGTTTTTGTTTTTAGAATAGCCTTAATAATATGGTTTTATTGTGTTTTGTCCATAAAATCGTAACGTCAAATGACTGGAAGCTTGCCCTATAAAGACTTGTACTTACGTAGTTTTACTTGAAACGTTAGTACTATACAAACACAACATAAAACACAAAGGTACATAATATGATATAACAGATATTAGATTTTTTGTGCAAAATCAAAACTATTCTGCTACATCTACTTCGTGGACAAATAAGTAGTTTACTTCTTTGTGGGTTACCCAATTTCCCTTTAAATTGAATATCCTTATTTTATGTTTACCTACCACTTAGATTAGCTGACCAAGTATTTACAAACAACATTGACCGTAGTCACTTAACTACGAGAGGTAACTGAAATAGGGACAAGAACTTTTGGAGTAAGAACCTTTCGTTTAGTTGATAAAAAAATGAAGATCAAACCTAAAACAGCCTGAGTGTTAGTTTACTAAGTCTGTATCTTTAAATATAAAACACTATTCTTTTGTTTATTTCTAAACAAATTCGGAATGAAGTCGGTTAAAAAACATTTCGTCGTCACGTAGACGCTATGTCCTTTTACTTATTCTACATTTTAGCTGACTTTTACTGAACTATAGGTTATTCGTACCAATAAATGCTAGTTTATAAGATGTGAAGTAAACCAATAACGTACCACAATGCTGAAAACAACGCAGCAAATGTTGACCGAGCTCAGAAGCACGTTCAGTAGATTTACCACGGTGAACGCGTTCTCCAAGTCATTGCCATAGCTATAAAAACAATCTTTGCTTAGTCAAGATAAATATTAATATGGATTCATAGAACCCTCGAAAAATTGTGGTGAATTCACGACTCCACGTGAATCCACGACTGGTCAGCTATGAAAACAATAAATTACTACCTGAGGCAATCGATTTTTTCACAAGTATTTTTTTTATTTTTTATTTAAATCAATATGAGATGTATCTCAAATGTAATGCTCTAATTTTCGTGTAGGTCAATTCTAGTCCTAGCTTGAATTCTAGTAGGTATTCATAATGTTAATAGGTACATTTTTAGATTTAAAAATTGATAGCCTCAGGTCAACTCGACAATGGATCACAACAAATACGAGTACAGAAAAATTTCGACAAAGTAACAAAAATTTCTGAAGCTAAGTGGTTAGAGCAAGTAATGCCAACTGCAAATAAAATATTCTGACTGATCCATCAGTCATCAATTGAACGTCTTTCCCTCCCCCGAGAAATCAACTTTTTGCGTATCACGATAAAGTTAATCTTCCAATTTCATCAGTGGAAAAGAAATCACACGTTTCAAAACGATTTCGCTCACCCAATATGAATAAGTCACGCCTTAAGATTTTAAGACCCGACTGATTTATTTTTCGTGGATAAATACCATCGATCAAAAATGTATTTTACTCCACTTTTTAAATAGTGTGAAAACTGTAAAACTTTAAGTTTTTTAACTTTATTCGAAAGATGTAACGAGTAAAGGATATGAATATAATTATATGTAAAATATCTTAGACAATCCTATAAGTACTGACATATACCTAAATTATGCTTTACTAACATAGTTACCTACCTATTTAATTATTGTCTGTATACTTTGATGGTACTAAATAAAGTCTAATTATAATTATCTGGACCTCCTGCTTTCGGCAACTTACCTAATTAGCCTCTGATGTATTTTGACAGCATCCACAATCATCTCATAGCTGTGTTGAGATCGTTTTCTCTCATCTACGTGTTCATCTTGGCCGATAGTGCCAATAAGACGTATCTTGACTTGCAGGAGACGGAGCAGCATGCTGATGTGGCTTGCCATGGTTATGAATAGGATGTCGGCGCTTAGCATGGCGTTTACTGATGATATGCCTGAAATGAAGAAGAAAATAAAGTTTTCTAATGAGAATGTTGACATTAAAAATCACAGAATATTTTTACTCTCATCACTACAGGCTCCATCACTTCAACATCTACTTAGGTACGAGTAACTTCATTTCATCCGTGATCAAGGCGGATTCAACTACATATCGAAATGAAATGGATTATGCATATCTATTGTATTTTTATTTAGTTACTAGAAACTTTCTCCGAAAAGGAGCCTGAATGCGATTAGGCTCGCACTACTTTGGTTGAGGTCTAATAATGCCATTAACATTTCCAACCAGACTGTGAGAAGTGAGTGAAAGTCAGCTAATAAAATTTCATTCCTATCTGTTAACACACATCGGAATCGAAGAAGTGTCAATAAAAACTATGCTATGCAGTATGCACTTACCACCGTACATTTCGAAGAAAAATGCCAAAGTATGCGGCAAGCGCTTGCTCGTATCAAACGGGTAGTAGACGTGCCAAATGTCGCCCAGCCGTGAAGGGTCGCCGCGGACGATGTGGTACAGATACAGCACTACTGGAGTCAGGTTGTACATCCACACACCGAACACATTCCAGAACATGTAAACTGTTAAAATAGAAATTAATATCGTGATGAGACACATTAAGGTATTTTTACAATACCTACCTAATATGTGATTGATACAGCTATAGCTCCTTATGCCACGGTTTCATATAAGTAACTGTAGTGAGCGCGCGGCGTTCAATATTATGATTGTGACACTCAAAATGACATCCACCCCGTGAACTAGACACCTCGTAGACTGGTACTCCCCGAGTAGGTACACCACGTTATGTCTCGAGCACACTACGTAATACGTATGCCCCAAGCACACCACCTAGGTAGGTACCTAAGAATACTAACGTCCTCGTACGCCACTCAGTACACGAACGCCACAAAGAACTAACCCTAACTCTGTATGCAGTAGGCCCGATAAGTAAGAAAGCCACACTAATACTAATAATAAAAACTTAAGATTCACTTCCTAATTTTACAAACAAAATATTTTACTAACATATTTGCATAACTCTTAACGCCTTCAGGCTGTCCCGCTTAATCTCGGCTGAGGCATCATCACCGATGGTCACTGGCCAGATATCGCTGAGCTCTTGGACCAGTTTCCGAAACACCGACGAGTTGTACCAAATTAATATAAACTTCCCGAAACCTGCAATGTTAACATGAAATTGTAACAAATTATTAAAACGTTTTAATTATTGAAATCCGCATATCGAAACTGGCGACCGTGGCTGTCATCACAAAAAAGGCTTACAAAATGAGTTCGTTATCATTGCAGCAATAATCGGCACAAAGCACAATAAACAAGACTATAAAATAGCCTCACTAAAAACTCGCCTATATTTACTGTATGTACCTACAACCAAATATCTACATAATTCAAATGCAATCAAATTACACACAAATTAGTAACTAATTACAAATGTTTTTAGCTAATCTCATCTTATTCTATAGGTAGGGTAGACCGGGGACAATAGTACCATTTTTTGGAAATTGTTCAATATTGAGAATTCTAATGAAATATAACTTATTCTGTTAGTATGCTGTAAAAACTAGACTCCTAAGCTACAAATTTAAGCATGCAGAGTTGAACTATTCTTTCGAATACTTGATGAAAAACGAGTTTGAACTGTACGATGTCTCATGTTACAATTGACCCCTACAACGGGTCAATTGTACCAATAATATATGAGGCTATAAAAGTCGTTATGTTTATCTAATCATCACCTTTATTGGTATTCTGTACTCTTAATCTCCTACAATCATCATTCTTTATTAATTGGGATCGAAAATATTTAGGAACAAGTATGAAAAATCAACACTAAAGTTTAAAAACAAAACAATAACTTTTCTTCCATAAAAACGAAAAAGCTAACTGTTTCTACATAATATGTCATTTATTTGGCTCGGATATTGCTCCTGAAACAACAATAAGCATAATAACAATGATAGAATAATCAAAACTTCAAAATCTATTTTTGTATGAGGGTACAATTGACCCCTGGTACAACTGACCCTGATTTATTTATAACTACTAATGCTTCGCCCTTTTAAATTTTTTTCATAAGCCTGTACATAAAGGAATAGATCCGTTGATCCGTGATCCGTACTTTTGACTCTACGTCGAGGCATCTAAAACAAAACGTTCAAATACTTAGTTACTTACTGAATTAAACTAAAATGTACATATTCAGAAGGGTTTTAGAAACCTATATTAAAATATTTTAAGTAGGCATTAAGGTACTTATATCACCTTTTTATCGACATCTACCTACTTATTTAATAAAACACATTAACTATTTTTTCAGTAGGTAGGTATGCCTATAATTATAAAAATATAATTGTAAAAATGTAAAATAACCACGTGAATGTTTTATAATAACTTATTTTATTATAAGTATAGGTACTTTAAAACCAATTTAAAATATTAAGTATAAAATAAGGTTCCGGGGGTTAATTGTACCACGGGGTTGATTGTACCGCTACAATTGACCCCATGGAGACTGGTACATTTGTTCCAAGTAGGTAGTCAAGAGAACTTCACCTAAAATTCAGTCATTTTCACAGTGAATGCCAATAATTCGCTGTCGATACAAAGTTTAGAGCCTGGATAAACTATTGACAACAATACTTTGGTAACAAATAGCATATTAGGCAACTTATGGGCTCATATATTTGACATAAAAACTTACTGCGGCTGGGCAAAAAACAAAAATCCTTCCTGTACACCTTCGTTTTTCAGCGCAAGCGCCGCCGACTGGTGAGCGGATGGAAACACAAAAAGCGCATATTCTGACGCGATGCACACAATCTAACGTCGCTTGTATGAAGAAATATCGCCGATGGTACTATTGACCCGTGGTACTATTGTACCCGGTCTACCCTACCTATTTATACTCACTCATAGAATCGTATCCAGCAATATGCACGTAACCTTTGATAATCTCTTCCACGGACACAGAACCAGTTAGCAAAGACGCCGTGAAAGCAAATTCTCCAACCAACATCAAAAACAATGCCGTGCCTGACACGACAAACGCAAAATACACCTTAATCTTATCAAGAATCGTTTTTGGTGGATCGTCGATGAAAGACAAACCATTCAACCTCATAAATATGTTGCTTTTACTCAAAGTTTGATGAATTTCTCTTTGAGCAATTACTCTTTCGTTTCCCGCCATTATTCTCAAATTAAGAAGAAAGCGCGCCAATTTTTGTTTCTTTTTACCTTTTTATTTTTTAGGCACGCGAGAAATATTACACGCAGCCAGTATTTTCCGTTATCAAAGACGAAAAAATAAAGACGTTAAATCTCAACGTTCATTCAACACAAAATGTTCTGTAATTTAATACTACACTACAATGTTATTATGTTAGACGAGTTGTTTAATATTTTAGCAGAAGATACTTAATTCTTAATATAAAAAATCCAGTTCGTAAGAGAAACTTCTTCATAAACGAGTAAAACTTAGTTCTAATATAATTATATCTTACTTCCAAACTTTCACCGAAATTATTAGTTTACCTAATCTGTATCGATTAAATTGGAACTAATAACTCCCTGAATTATTACTTCATACATATTCTAACAACTTACCAGATTAATTGAGTGAGACTAACTTTGGAGGTAATTTCCTAAATAACTTGCTTGAGCCACACAACTTGAACAAGGATTATATAAATTAAGAGAAAGTTTATGAAAGAGGTTAGTTAATAAATTATTTTCTGATTAGAGGTTGAACCTGAATAATGAAATAAATGGAACAAACACAAACAACGTTGTGCCTTGCAGCAAACAGCCTTCAGTAATAAAGTGAGTGCAAACAACCATGTATACGAGTAGAATAGCAGCTCGGAAGGTAAACATAAATAAAATTAAAATCAATTGTCATTAGGTACCATGCTCCAGTCTGTTTGATTCGGAACTTCATTATTCCAATTTGCGGGCGAACGATGTCAACTGCAATAATTGAATTCGTAATGTAGCGACGACCAGCCAAACCTGATCCCGTCATAAATCAGGGTTAGAGGTGATTTACGACCAACAAGGGATCACAGTTCAGTGGTTAATTCGGCAATGTAATTAAAACATCACTTTAAAACGATGCAACTAGGGCATTCATATACATTCAGGAATCAATATCTTCTGAAAAAAATGTTGCCAGAAATACGGACTAGTTGTTAAATGGTTTATTAATTTCTTAGAACGTTAGATTGCTTGGCATGAAAAACTTAGGCTGCATGGATTTTGATCTTTGCCTTTTGCAAAACGAATAAAAGCAGCAGCAAATCAAGAAAGTTCGCATCGAAGTTTGATTTTACGTAACATGTTGTATGCTAAAAGTCACGTTTAAAACATATTGGACCATCTAAACCAAAACTAGAATGGAACTCATATTCGTAAATTATCCACATAATCTGAAGTTACGAGAGAGTTTGCGGACGTGGTGGATGCAACAAGGATTTTGTGGCTGCTATTGCCGACTAGGGGCACAAGTTGACGCTGACGATGCAAGTTATGATGGAAGTCACGAGTTTGTAACTGCATTTCAAGTCTAAAGCACATACATATTACACACCTGAGACTGACACACCTGCCGAGAACACTGCTTGGCGGAATTGCCCCATACATTGTAACAAGTTTCCCTCGTTATGACAATGTATAATGTCAAGGATACTGAGTTGATCACTCTTATTTCCCCTCCAAAGAAAAGTAAAACTAAAGAACGAAGCTTTTGCGTTAGATTTATCTTGTTTTGAACAAAATTGACTAAACGACCTTTAAGGCATCCTATTGACCCAAAATCCAAGGCAAAGTAGGTAGACTGAACGTTAGTGTTGTTAACGACTTTCCCTTTAATCGATAAAATATTTACCACGGCATAAATTAATTATACTTAGAATGTTGTTTTTCAATCAAAGAGACTAAATATTTACATGAATCAATCTCTAGTTCGAACTTTATGTACTTATTTAACTTAGGTAATGGAAGTATTAAACTGACTTTTCGATTAAGAACCAACAATAAGATCTCTTTTCGTAATTTACGACTAAAAAGAATGAGAAGAATTTAGTTTAGAAGTAGGTAACTCGTCGAAACTAAAAAATACACGACCTAGTCTTTTTTTCTCACCGATTGCGCTGTCGGGCATCACAAATTCGCGATCGTTCTTTTTTAGAATTGATTCGAACCGGTTCGACAAATCCGATATCGATTCCCATCACTACGCCCCACCTGTCCAGGATTATTCCAGCGGCGCATTTAGCCGGCTTTGTGGGATTAGTCGCCGGGATCTCGCGAAAGTAAGCAGCTGCTCGTTTATCCAGTGACAGGTCGCTACTTTGTTCCGCATCTGGAGGCGCCTCACGTGGCCCTCTTCGACATGCCTCACGTCACTCAATACGGAAAGGTTAGGTTTGATGAAAAACCGTAAGGAATTCTAGGTTCTTCACTCGACTTCACCCGCGTGAATTTTGATCTCTCACAGAAATGTTTTGTCGCGCACGCATCCTCCTTTTATGTTTAAAATAAACGGGATAGGTAATTATAATTAGTTTTATATCTAAGCAGCTGCTCGTTTCTCTAGTGACAGGTCACTACTTTGTTCCGCATCTGGAGGCGCCTCACGTGGCCCTCTTTGACATGCCTCCTTACGTCAATGGGGAAAAGTTAAGTTTGATGAGCATCCATATAAAGAACTAGCTTCAGCCCACGCCTTCGCCTTCGCTAGAGAAAATTTCAGAATGTCACAAAAAATATTCGCGCGCGCCCTGCTTTTGTGTTTTAATAAAAGTGGAATAAGTATCGTTATGTTGTTTACAAATAAGTATTCATAAAAATACAAATACAAAATTTCTTTATTTACTACAAGTTATAGCTTTACAGTGGTGGGTGTTCTCCTTTTAAGTAATTATACTTGTATTAGGAGAAACACGCTCTTTCAGGAGGTACAGGTCAGGATTCATTAACGAAGAAAGGAACTTATTCTCAATATAAACTGTCATGCCCCATTTCAGCCCTTTCAAGTTGTATTATAAATAAGTAGGCCATGCTCTTC